ACTTTCTTACATGTGAATTAAATAGAGGTGTGTGTGTGTGTGTGTGTGTGTGTTGCTGGGGATCGAATCCAGGCCCTTACACAGGCTATGTACACACTTTACCACCAAGTTACATTTTCAATCAAGTCCTATTAGTTAAGGTCACTCTTGTGTACCTTTTACTTACAGTCATTTGTCTTTTTTTCTTTCTTTTTGTATTGGGGATTGAACTCTTGTTTAACACTGAGCTCCATCCCTAGGCCTTTTTTATTTTTTATTTTGAAACAGGATCTCGCTAAATTGCTGAAGCTGGCTTTGAACTTGAGATCCTCCTGCCTCAGCCTCCCGAGCCACTGGGATTAAAAGCAAGTGCCACTGTGCTCAGCACAATATAATTTCTTAAGACAGAATATGAATACCCCACTGGGCATGGTGGTGCACGCCTGTAATCCCATCAGCTCCAGAGGCTGGGGATCATGAGTTCAGCTAAGGTAAGGCACTACACAACTCAGTGAGACCCTGTCTCTAAATATTAAACTACAAAATAGGACTGGGGATGTGGCTCAGTGGTTGAGTGTCCCTGAGTTCAATCCCCAGTACCCACCCCCACAAAAAAGAAAGGAAAAGATAAAGTATGAATACATTTTTTAACAGATGAGAGGAAGGAAAAGGACACACAGCTCTGTGCAATATTCTCAGTACATTTATTATCCTGCATTTATCATAAAGTGTTGTCCAAGGATACAGTTTTTTAAAAATGGCAGGGGTATAGCTCAGCATCAGAACTCCTTACCTTCCATGTACAAGGCTGCAAGGGCCTGGGATTTGATTTCCAGCATTGGGAGAGGGAGAGAGAAAGAGAGAGAGAGAGAGGAGATAAATAGAAAATCACATTTATCAAATCCTTACTGTGTGCTAGGTACCATTTTAAATATGTGAAATTACCTCATTTAATATTTTTAAAAGTCCCTATGATGTAGGCCCTTGCATTATCACCCAAGACAAAATGAAACAAATAAGTAAAACCCCACCAATTTATGTACACATAAATTACGTATACATAATGTACACACAAATTATGTATATATAATGTACACATAATGTACAACAGTATGTACACATTTTTAATGTACACACTATTAGAATAGTTACTAACTAAAAGTATCACTGGATCTCCCATTTGCAGCAAAATTTTAAATTACATACCTCATTTTTATTTATCACTCTTAAGTTCAAACATGACTATATGATGAAACCAAGCAAAATTAAGCCATAATCAAAATTCTATATCTTGCAGTACTTGGTGATGAAAAAAATATGTGGCCAGAATACTCAAATACCTCTACTCATGGGGGCCCATGTGCAATGGCTACAATAGCAGCATCTGTAGAAGTGTACAGAGTGGTTGCTTTTCTGATTTGCCATTCAGACCTTCGAAATGGCCCATCCCAGGGCTCTGATCCATGTCTCTGATCTAGTGCTCTTCCCAATCTAGGCTCCAGACAGGATTGTAGGTGCCTTTGGAAAGCCCCTCGGCACAGTGGCCAGCATTCACATTGGCCACATCATTATGTCCATCTGCATCAAGCCACAGAACAAGCACACAAGGAGGCCGTAGCTGGGCCAAATTGAAGTTCCCTCGCAGCCAGAAAATCTACATCTCAGGTAGAGTTTTACCAAGATATGGTGGCTGGGATACCAGATGGCTATGGGATCAATACATCCCAAATCACAGGGTTCCCTGGATAGGCGTTGGGCCCTGCACTCCTGAGAGCTTTCACTCCCCTCTCCTTAATTATACACCCACCAAAACTCTGAGATGAACCCTGGAGAGTTGAAAAGTGGTTTCCAGTTAACTGTACTAACACATCTAATTTGCCCTTTCTAAAAAAAAAGAGTCTTCTAATTAATTAATTAATTAGTAATAATACCTTGATGATCTGTGCTGTCACAAAAAATAAATTCTGAAACAGGACAGAGAAGGACACATGTATATATATATATATATATATATATATATATATATATATATATACATCAGTAGCAAAACATGTATGGATGAAAGAAAGAAAAATATTTGCTTTGCTGACAATGCAAATTATATAAAAGTGACCAACAGACACACACACTTTTCCCCCTGTGGTGCTGGGATGGAACTCAGTGCCCCCTTATGCATGCAAGGCCAGCACTCAACCACTGAACCTCACCCTTCATCCATCACCTCCATGGCCTAACCTTATTTTTTCAGTGACACATCATTGTCTTGAGACATGCTCCAATAGATCTACAGAGGAACAAAATATCAAACACTTAAATTATTCTCATGTCACCAAGAGTGTGAACAAAATAGTGACAATATCTGTAGTAAGAACTCAGATGGTTGTTTTAGTTTATTGAAAAAAAAAAACTGTCCAACAAAGTTACTAGCAGCAAATACTAAAGGATCCTGACATATAAAGAATATTGAATGTAAGATGTCTTCTAGTTTCAAAACACCTCAAAGATTTTTTAATATTTATTTTTTAGTTGTAGTTGGATACAATATCTTATTTTACTTATTTATTTTTATGTGGTGCTGAAGATCAAACCCAGGGCCTTGCAGGTACTGGGCAAGCGCTCTACCACTGAGCCACAACCCCAGCCCCACCTCAAGGAGTTTAATGACAGTATATTAAAGCAATCAGAACCAGATTTATTGTTAGACATTCTTTAATGTCATGACCCAGATCAAGTAAAATATGGAAATAGTGAACCTTTATTTTTAAATATAGGAAAAGACAAAGTAGTTAAGAAACAGAAAAACTTTTTTTTTTTTTTTGCAATGCATTTAATGCTGTATATAACTACAAAGCTAAGAATAAAAAACGGGCAAGTATGGCATCCTTAACTCTATTTTTGACTGTTAAAAAGACCCTGTCTCAAAATAAAAAATACAAAAAGAGCTGGGGATGAGGCTCACTGGTAAAGTGGCCTTGAGTTCAAGTCCCAGAATCAAAAAAGAAACAAAACAACTACAAGTTAAGCGTCCCTAATTTGAAGTTCCAAAATGTCCAAAATATGTGACGTGATCCCACCAGTGGAAAATTCTACACTTGCTCTCATATGATATGTCAGTCAATGCAGTTGCAGGGTGGCACACGCCTGTGAGCCCAGGAATTCAAGTGGAAGGGCAGAACATTTGCAAGTTAGAGGCCAGCCTCAAAATTCAGCAAGACCTTATCTGGAAATAAATTTTAAAAGGACCGGGCATGTAGCTGAGTTGGTAAAGTACCCCTGGGTTCAATCCCTAGTATAAACACACACACACACACACACACACACACACACGCAAAAACTACCGTCAGTTATATGTTACATGAAACATAAACTTTGTTTAGACTGGGATCTCATTCCCAAGATATTTCATTATAGATATGCAAATATTCTGAAATCTGAAAATGTCAGAAATCTGTAATACTTCTAGTCCCAAGCATTTTGGACAAGGGGTACTCAACTTGTACACCAGAAATTATGTATCTAAGTGTTGTTCCTTTCCAAATAATCAACTTTTAAGTTACAATATAAATGATGTCATTATTTACTGAACAAATTTTCTAGAAAGGCAACATTTAGTCTTTTCCTCTAACCTTAAACTAAAACATGTATAGGTAAAATAGCTATACTTGTTACTGAGATTAAAAACCTCTTACAAAGATATAGGCACCTATCAACTTTTATTTTCTGACCAGGAATACAAGCTGGGTTTGAAGGCAGGGCCACTTACGAAACTCCTAGGTAAGCCTCCCTCTTTGGGTGCCCACATTACTGTGCTCAGGAATTAAAACTTTGTGGGGCAGTTACCAGGGACTGAACCCAGGGGTGATTAACCCCTGCACCACACCCCCAGGGTTTTTTTTGTTTGTTTGTTTTTTGAGACAGGGACTCACTATGTTGCTGGCCTTGAACTTGTGATCCTCCTGTTTCAACCTCCTGAGATGCTGGAAGCGTGCACCACCATGCCCAGTCTGAAGACACATTTAATATCAGACTATACAGAATTACCTGGAGGGCATATCTGCTATACAAGTAGTAGTACACACTCTAAATTTGCAAAGAAAGTTTAAATAATTTTCTCTTTTTGATTGGGTGGGGTGGTACACACCTGTAATCCCAGTGACTCAGGAGGATCAGAGTTTGAGATCATTTTGAGCCACTTAGACCCTGTCTCAAAATAAAACAAAAAAAAAGCTGCAGATTTAGCTCAGTGGTAAAGCACCCCTGGGTTCACTTCCCATTGCTAAAAATAAATTTTAAAATTTTGCTTGTTTTAACCATCCTTACCACTGCATCCTCCTCATTTCTAAGATCACCAGGAGGGCTTGCATATTGTGTGTTCACAGTATGTAGTAAAGACAGTCCTTCTGAGGAAAGGCTTACCAAATCCATACTAACTTCATATCTTAGATCCTATCCCCAAATGTCTGGTCACAGTACCTAATGCCAGGTGCAGCGGTGCACTGGAGGCAGCAACTCTGGAGGCTGAAGGAGGATGGTAAATTCAGGCCAGCCTCAACAACATAGTGAGACTTCTCTCAAAATAATAAATAAAAAGAGATGGGGTTGTAGCTTAGTGGTAGAGTGCCCCCAGGGTACCATCCCCAGTATGGAATTGGGGGCTTAGCTAGAAATAAAGTCCATTGTTTCACAAGGAAGTCTGATGAAAAGATTCAAAAACTTTCAAAAATCTCCATCAGTGATCACATCAGCTAACAGGTGGAGGGAGCCATCTTTTTTTTTTTTTTTTGTACTGGGGATTGAAACTGGAGGTGCCAAAACACTAAGCTACATACCCAGCCTTTTTTATTTTGAGACAGGCTCTTGATAAATTGCCCACACTGGCCTCAAACTTGTGATTCTCCTACCTCAGCCTCCTAGTTGCTGGGATTAGAGGCATGGCCACCATGCCAAGTGAGCCATCTTTCAATGAAAGAATCCTCTGGAAATGTAGTGAAAGTTTAACAACCTGAATCTCTAGTGGAAGAACCATCCTTTTCTTGGGGTTGCGTTACTGTCCAATGAGCATCTAATGAGGGCAGTACTGCTAACGCCTACACAACACGCTTGCATCAATTAGAGCTTTGTTTTATTTTGGTGCAATTTTTGGAAAAAAGAAAAACCTCTTTTCCCTGAATCTCTAGAGAAAAAAAAAAAAAATTGAAGCTGTTCAGCATTGCCAACATTACCCTCCCTCCCTTGAGCCCTTTCACAGTCTCCTCGAAGAGTCAAACATTTATACCAAAGCTCAGAGATTGATATGCAAATCTGTGCATACTATAAATCTATTTTAAAGTAATGAAATAGGGTTGGTGCTGGAGCTCAGTGGCAGAACACTGGCCTAGCATGTGTGAAGCACTGTGTTTTGACCCTTAGCACTATAAAAATTACAAAATAAAGGTATTCTGCCCATCTAAATACAAAAAAAAATTAAAAACAATGAAATAAACTAAAAATAAAAATCAAATGTTACTCCTTTCCTGAAATGGGGCAGGGGGGCAGGGAATGCTATTTCACAAAAATGCCTTAGGTTTAACTGCAGGTGGTCACAAGCCCAGAGTAAGCCAGCCAACTTTTATTGAAAGTCTCTTGCAAGTCACACATTCAGCATGAAAGTACTTCTTTTGTCAGTGTGAAAACAGCAGATTCCCAGAATACCAAGAAGTTGAATCCATGCCAACTTGTACTTCAAGCTGCTTCATGGTCACATGGGATCTCGGAGACCRCCGTCCTAAGCTCTCAGCCTCCCTGCGTCTCCCCTCCAAGGTAGGAAACTGTCTTGCTTACAACAGAATCAGACAACATCTGTATCAGATTTTTCTTTTCTTTAAAGGAGAGAAGGGGAGCTTGTTGTATCAAAGGCTTTCCTATTTCATTTTGAAATAACAAGTAACTTTTAAAAATTTTTTACTGGGACCAGAGATGGCCCCGGCAGTGAAGACTTTTAGCACGCTGAAGCAGGAGTTTTTATAACTTAGAAACAGTTTTTATAACTTAGAAAACAGCAGTGTTGCCAGAATGCAGTGTGATGAAGAAAAAGTAGTTATAAAGCTGATGCAAAAATAATTCAGCTTATAATACCCAAGGTACAGAGAGCAGCAGCTTCAGGAATATTAAGGAGGTAGAATCCACAGGACTTGCAGTTTTCAGACATGAGCCCAGAGAAAGGGCACAGCCCCAAAGGAGTCCAAGGGCCGATGGCAGTGCCAGTCACTTGGTCTTCCCAAATAGGAATGACTGACACATGAAGCTGTGTATGGAGGTGTGAAAGGTCTGGGTGACGTCCAGTATTTGTCTCAAGTACAAGAGAGGCCTTTGAAAAGATAGGCTTGGAAATTAAGTGGTAGACAAAAATCACAAAAGTCAGAGACACAAAAGTTCAATTGCCTGGGAACAGCAAATTGGGGGAATCCACAGAGGCAGGGGAGGAATGGCCAGAGGTRCAAGAGGAAAGTCCAGAGAAGGGTGACTCAGAAATGGAGGGACTCATTTGAAGGAGGCAGATTAACAGTGCCCCGTGTCACAGAAGTCATTCAACAGTACTAAAAAGGACCCAGTGAATTTAGTATGTGGGTGTTGAAAAAGGCAGTTATCAACATGTTGAAGAGGCAGATACATCATGACAATGAAAATAGTAGGTATAGTCTCCTCTTTCTAGAATTTAAGCTAAGAAAAGTCCAAGGAATTTGGTTTTAGATGCGAGATTTGTCAACACGCTTTGGTTTTGCTGAGGGTTAGAGCACAGGACAGATGGCAGGTGCAGCAGAACCAGGAAGGTTGTGTGGCCTGAGAACCTGGGAGGTTACAGAATATGGAGGGGCAGGTCCTTAGTGACTTAGCTGTTCAGAGGAAAACATCTTTCACTGAGACCTGAAAATGGCTAAGATGGAAACCCAGAAAATTCTGGCAGTAGGGTAGAAGAAATTAAAGGATGGGATGGAGAGATACARGAGTTGGGAATCAAGAGATAGCTTTGGAGAAAAGGAAGAAAGACCTAGAAGCAAAATCAACAATTGCTAGATAATATCAAGAGCCTAGCATTTATCTGACTCAGGTGCAGTGGCTCAAGCCTGTAATCCCATCATTTTGGGAGGTTGATGCAATAGGATTACAAGTTCAAAGCCAGCCTCAGCAACTCAGCGAGGCCTTAAGCAACTTAGCAAGACTGTCTCAAAATAAAAGAATAAAAAATGGGGTGTGGATATAGAACTCCCGAGGTCCAATCCCTGGTACTCTGGTACCAAAAAAAAAAAAGAGAGAGAAAAAAAAAGAAAAAAGTCTATGTGCACGTGAGACTGTAACTAAACTGCTTGATAGTGACAAATATAAGAAGTTATTGCCTATACCTCTCACCCCAGCCTAAAAGTGTGTATATTGTATGCTTTTTAGTAATGAACCCTCAATAGTGCAGGTGTTACCCATGTTAGAGAATCCAACCTCACAAACTAAATTTGTATAATTTCAAATAATTTTACCCTTTGTGCTTGTRGTACTGGGGGTTGAGCAACCTGGGGTGCTCTGCAGCTGATCTACATTCCCAGCCCCCCCCTTTTTTTTCAGAGAGTATCTCACTAAGTGGTCCAAGCTATCCTCAACCTTGTGATCCTCCTACTTCAGCCTCCTGAGCTACTGGGATTATAGGTGTGTACTACCATAAAGTACTATACTCAGCCAGGCATGGTGGTGCATGCCTGTAATCCCTGTGATTTGGAAGGCTGAGGAAGGGGTATTGCAAGTTTGAGGCCAGTCTTAGAGACACAGTGAGACACTGTCTCAAAATAAGATATTATAAAGGGCTAGGAATGTAGCTCAATGGTAAAGTGCCCCTAGAGCCCTGGTTTCAATTTGCAGTACAAAAAAAAAAAAAAAACAAAAAAAAAAAACCCAACTCTTAAATGACTTCTTACACATTCAAAATGGTGCCATTACACCATTAAAAGCTTTCAAATATTTATTGCTAAAAATACCTGTAATCCAAAGTATACTCTTAGGAAAACTTTTAGACTTTTAAACATTTATTATTTATATACTATTCTGACCAAAAGAAAAAATGGAAGTTTAGAAAAGGTAAAAATGGACATTAAAAATGTTTATTTCTAGCCCTGAAAGAACAAAATTAAATGAAGTCTCAAATACAGCAGTTAATGTCAAAGTAACAATTAAATATTGAATGGGATTAAATTAAAATAGAAGGTCATATAATATTTGAAGACAAAACAGAAAAGACAACTACTTTCATTGAATTCCATTTCTACCTACAAAACAAGGGGGGGGGGAAGCCAACACATTCCAACCAACAACGTTGAATTTAAAATGTAATTCTTTTTCTTATGAAAGTTTGTCAGGATTACCAGACATTTCTTTCTGCCTCTTGTCTTGGCAATGTTTTAAAATGGTGAATGATACAGACTTCAGTTCTTTCAAGGCCAGGCCACTGCTTGATTCTTCTAACACATACCTAACACAGCATTTTTGCCAAATTTCAATAAATGTGTTGAGTGAGAAAAATAGTGGGCATTTTGTACTCATGCTACGGAAAAGCTGATTTTAGCTGTTTAAGTATCCATTGACAGCATGGAGACAAGGAAGACAATCTTTTTATATTACTATGAAATCCCATTATAAAAGCCAAAAATAAGTATTCATCTGAATTTTAGATAGTCTATGACATTTGGAAATTTCACTGGATAGGCATCTCAGTATATTTAATAAGTTTTAGATTCAAAAAATTGATGTAAATTCCTTAAGCCTCTTTTTTTTTYCCCCCTAACTATAGCTACTGCCTAATCACATCTAAAGTTATTCTGGCTAGAATACAGAATATACAAACAAACATGTATTTGAGTGAGCCCTACAGAGAAATACTCATAGGTAGTTTAAACTCGTTTGTTAAAGGCACAGTTTGTTTAGGACTGGTGGTTACTAGATAAAACTGAAGCAGTTCAATATTTATGTTGAAGGGCAGAAAATTCCTGCTTTGTGCCAGACACTTAACAAAGACCACTGTGCTAGCCCTGGTGTCTTTACTTAACAGAGTCAATGTTCATTATTTCTAGGTAGGGGAAAAAAAAATCAATATTTTTATAGTTTCCCAGTTCAATTATCCCTAAAAGCAGCAAAAGGAACGAGAGAAGATAACTTTAGGACCAGAAAGTCTACAATGTAATAAATAAGTACTACAGTAATATTGTCCCAATAACACAAAAGGATTCCTACTGTACTTTTAGATTTAAATAGGAATTCTCATTTTAAAGTGATGACAAAAAGGGTAAATACAAAAGATAATGATTAAAAAACATGAATCTTGATTCAGATATAATTGTTCTTTCACGAGATCTAAAAATTTTAATTTAACTAATAAATCACAATTTTGTATTGCTTTTTAAGATGATTTTGTTTCAAATGACACATTTCAGAATTAACCAAAATATATTTCTATTACAGGTTAGTTTACCCAAGTAAGTAAAAGTAAAGAATAAACCACAGTGCAGCTCCCTTAACCTAGGAGGCAGGTTTTAATGACAAAGTCCGTTGCCAGCAATGGACATGCAGGTAACCATCAAAGAAGTTGTATACAAATCCCAAATTGCTTCTATCAACGGAAAAGCCCTTTGTTGAGTCACAGCATAAAATGGGGGTGCTGGCACATATCCCATGTCTGAGGATGGAAGTGCCTTCTTGAGTGGTCATGATGAGCAGTCTTATTCAGTCAGGTTCATTTTCTATTCATTAGTAGCATCTTCTTTATCATAATCCATCCGTTTACAAAGAAGGTTCAAATTTGGAACTCAAGATGCACTGTAGCTTTCCTCAAAAAATAAACCAGCTTCTTTCTGTAATTTAGTGACAGCTATAGAAGACCAAATACAGTCCAGAGAAAAATGAAATCAAGAATCATACTGAAAACAGAGGCCATTAAGTGCTCTAGATGAGTTTCATTAATTATTTTACTCATTTTTCTGAAAACCTTCCTGTACTATCGATAAATAAGCCATTTCTCTTTATACCTGAATTTAACAGATACGGTGGAAATAAAAATGAAACCCTGCTAATTTTCCCAATATATTCCAAAACATCAAAATTACTTTTATTCATGATTTGTATTATTGCAGGATATCAAACAGGTGTGAAGAGTTCATTGGGAGAAGATGGTGGGAACAAAATGCCAGAACCAACCACAGATTTTTGTCTGTATGTGGTTCCAGGCATGTCAGGATGGCCAATACCTCCTCCAAAAGCAAAACAGCAACAATAACAACAACAATGAAAAGGAGAAGAAAAGAAAAGAAGGGGAGGGGAAGGACGGGGAACTCTAATATAATGCTAAAGGTCACAGACCTTTTATTAAATCTTTTTAAAAAAGCATTACTATCATCAAGTACAATTTTTCTTCCTTTCTCCACTTTTTTACACGAATAGTTTCTACTTATTTGAAAAACAAAAACTAAAGTAACTCAACATCTCAAGTGATCCATATTAACAACTACTTTGTTATTTAAGTTCTCATAGATAATAAAACATTACTAATGGGTTGGGAGAACAGTAACTTAATGACAAAAATCTTTATAGTTTACTGTTTGTTCATAAGTCTCATCTCTATATTATTGATATTTCTCTTTCATGATTTAAATTATTTTAGAACTCACTAAGGTTCAAGACTTTCACTTTTGTTTTTGCCCGCCCAAATGTAAGAGGGAAAAAAAGTTAACTTTTCAATTCTGAAAATTCGATGGTTATTATATTATTTGTTCCAGGGGTTGGGGGAGGGGTAAGTGTATGGGGAGAGGTTAATTAAAAACAAAACCACCCCCCAAACCCAAAATTGCAACATATACAGAAACTTATTTCCAAAATGAAGGGGAGAAAAGAGGGAAAAGAAAGGGGAAGGCAGCGGCACCAACCAAAGTCACGAGGCCCAAGTTGGAACAAGCACAAATCACTGTGGTTCCTAAAGCCAAGTCTGAAGAGGAAACAGGCAGAAAGGAAGACAAAACCATAAGGAGATAAAGTTGATGGGATTCCTTTTCTGTTTCAATGATTTTAGTTATAAATATAGATTATTAGTTTTCTTTCTATACATGTAACAAATGCCAAACTCACTACCATGAAATTTCTAAAACTGACTCTTTCACATTTGTTAAAAAAGGTAAAAATCACATACTTTTCTTCCTTGCTTCCTTCAGTTCAAGTTCTGAACTGAAATATTACATGTAACAGTAGCTGGTCGTAACTTCTACAAAAAGTTAAGCCATATCAGCCTCCCTTGCCAATATAAAGAGCTACATAATTTCTATCATACTTGCCTTCAMTTTAGGCCTGAGAAGAACTTCTCAAAGCAACTCAGAAGGAGCAAGTCAAAGAAAGGAAAGGAAAAGTTATGAAGGAGAGAAATGAAGACCAGCAGATAAAACACTCTAAAAAACTCAAATCTGCCATTCAAGTATTGAAAATATCCCAAAGGAGACAACGAATGGGATCTATTATACCAAAGTCAGCAAAATAAAATGCAAATCTCAAGCATGAAAAATGGCCTCGGTAGGCTGTCTGCTGAAAGATGTAAGGCTAGTGATTCAGTCCATTATTCCTTTTTGACCCTAAAGGAGGGATTCACTTGAAAGTCACAGTTCTCTTTTTGCAATTTTTTTCTTAGTTGTCTTCAGGGAATAGTAGTTTGTTTTTTCCTTCCATGTTATGCAGACCATCTCTTTAAACACACAAAAGAGAAATAACTTTCATATATTAAAAAATTTCTTTTTAGAAAATGGAAAAAAGAATATGAAGCCCCATCAATGATGTTAACGGTTACTCTTCATTGCTTCTTTAGCTGCCATGATCAATGGTGTCAAGCTAGATAATGGTTTGGCCAGTTTCAGGAAGGGGTGCTGCCAGAAAGAGGGGAGAAAGAAGTGCATAAATGTTATCAATTTAGAAACAAAATATTTTCCTTCAACTAAGCCCTGAAGAGTACTTATGAATGAAATTTACTTAACACATATTTTATTACCTGCCCAAACCCCTCATAATCAGTATGTAACTTTCTTAGTTGAAAACAGAGTTGTTTTTCTAATTTCCAAAAATCTACAGTTAAAGAGCCCATAAATACAATCATGCCAGCATTGAATGGGCAAGATATTTGGTAATATACAAAAACTTACTATCATGATACTAAACTTTTATTCCTGGCATACAAAAACCCTAAAATGTAGCAGCTGCCTTACTAGCAGTGACCAATGAATAGTGAAATGTTATTAACACTATGAAAATTTTCTGTTGATTATTCAAAAAGAGTCAACATTTTCCAAAAAGGGTATAATTTCCAAATTTACCTGTAACAGTTCTTTGGCTGAACCCCTTTTCTCGACATCCATTTCCAAACATCGATTTAAGAAATCTCGAAATATTGGGGAAAGTTTCTCTGGATTCTGAAGTTCTGGAGTTCCATTAGTTGCTATCAGGTATAAGGCCTAAAAATAAAACAACATCTATGACATTCTACTTAGTTGGTAACTGAGGAGTATACCCAGGGTTGCTTTACCAGTGGGCTATAACCCTAAACCTTTTTTTTTGTTTGTTTTGTTTTTTGGTACCAGGGATTGAATCCAGGGGCACTTAACCACTGAGCCATATCCCCAAGCCCTTTTTATTTTTTTATTTTGAGAGAGGGTGTCTCACTAAATTGTTAAGCTGGCATCAAACTTGTGATCCTTTTTTTTTTTAGGTTTATTGATTTTATTTTTTTAAATGCATGACAGCAAAATGCATTACAATTCTTATTACACATATAGAGTACAATTTTTTCATATCTTTGTATATAGAGTATGTTCACACCAATTTATGCCTTTATACATGTACTTTTTTTTGCATTACAATTCTTATTACACATATATACCATGATTTTTCATATCTCTGTTTATAGATAAAGTATGTTGACACCCAATTCGAATATTCATACATGTACTTTGGATACTGATGTCCATCACATTCCACCTGTGATCCTCCTCCTCCTCCAGCCTCCTGGGTCACTGGGATTACAGGTGTGCAATCATTGGACACAGTATTTGCAACATTCTGAAGAAGGCTCAACAAAATTATAGTGTACTATAATTGGAACTGTGTGTGTGTGTGTGTGTGTGTGTGTGTGTGTGTTAGTACATCAAACCCAGGGACTGTGCATGCTGGGCAAGCACTTTACCACTGAACAACATCTCCAGCTCCTCTTTTTTTTTTTTTTTTAAGTTTTCTTTTCAGTTGTTGATTTATTTTATTTATTTGTTTATATGTGGTGCTGAGAATTGAACCCAGTGCCTCACACATGCTAGGCAAGTCCTCTACCACTAAGCCACATCTGCAGCCCTCCAGCTCCTCTTAATTCTTCAAAGACAATCACCATAAATACTAACATGAGGTTATCATTATCTCCACCTGTTTGGATTTTGCATCCTCCCTCTTTTCCTTCCTTTTGTTTTTACTGGTGTAGGAACTGAACGCAGGCATATGCTGGACAAGTAAGTGCTCTACCACTGAACTATACCCAGCCCTCTTTTTATTTTATTTTGAGTTAGGGTATCTCTAAGTTGCCCAAGCAGGCCTCAAACTTGGAATCCTCCTGCCTCAGCCTCTCCAGAAGCTGAGATTACAGGTGTGTGCCACCAGGCCTGGCAGCTTCAACATTTCTGTGTCAAACTATAAATTGCTTAAAAAACAAAAAACCCAACAACAACAAAACTGACAAACACTTTCAGCCCACACACTGTACTTGGACAGCATCTAGCCTTTTTAGACTGAATTTCTTTGCTAAACAATATGCACTTAAAGATCTTTCAGTTTAATATACACATGCCACAGGCATATAATAAATTTTCCACGTTCTTTCCCTGTAATAAATAAATAAATAAATAAATAAATAGATAAGATAAAATTCTCATGTCTTTTTGTGGTCTGCTTTTTTTTTTTAATCAATGAATAACATTCTATTGTATGGATGTAATACATATATATCTGATTTTCTTTTATTTATTTTGTAGTGCTGAGGATGGAACCTAAGACATGCTAGGCATGTGCTCTACCACAGAGATACGCACAGGCCTTACATTCACTTTTTGAAAGACATCAGAGTTCCAGATTTGGCAATTATGAATAAAGATGCTATAAACATTTGTGTATACATTTTTATGTGGACATGTTCCAGTGCATTTGGATAAATACCTAGGAACACATTGCTGGGTTATGTGGTAAGATCATGTTCAGTTCTGCAGGAAAATGAAATTGTCTTCTGGAGTGGAGCATCCCACTAGCAATGAATGAGTGTTCCTGTGGCTCCACATCCTCACTCAATATTTGGTATTGTCAGATTTTTTGGACTTGAGCATTCTAACAGGTGCGGTATCTCATTGTTATTTTAATTTATTTTACCAATTCCCTACCTACCCACAAGTTTAGCTCTTTTCATATGCTTATTTGCCGCCTGTGTATCTTATTTTGTGCTCCCCCACCCTCACTTTTTTTTTTTTTTTAGTTCTTGGAAACTGAGGCCCTCACATATGTTAGGAAGAAGCTCTACCACTGRGCCACAATGTCAGTCCTAAAAATCTTCTAAAGGAAGTCCAATTTCTTTCTTTCATGGATGGTCCTTTTAGTGTTGTACCTGCCAAACCGAAGGTGAACCTAGATTTTCTCCTGAATTAATTTTACTCTAAAATGTCCTGCCTCGGATAGCAATTAATTTCAGGTTAAGATCAAAGACTGTTGGAAGCCTCCAAACCTCCAACAGAATGGATAGACAGAAGCCCATAAAACACTCAAGCTAAATATTACCACCCACCCACCATCACCAGTCCCCCACCCCTGCTCACAATCTTCTCACCATTTGAGATCAATCTYACTATATGCTTTACCTTCATTATGTTAATGATCATAAGCAGCCCAGGACTCCCAGTCATCTCCCCAGTTTCTCCACTCTAATGCCCATGTGGCTCGGAATATTCTCCTTACTTTCACCAGCAGTGCTTTCTAGGGGCAACTTTTTTTCCTCACAACTCTAGGTCTAGAGATGAGCAAGTATCCTTTCAGCTTTTCGTTGCTCTTTGAAATCTTCATCATTCTTTTCCTTTATAMCACAGGCTTTTGACTACAAATCTACATTTCCCTGTTTTAAATACCCACTAAACCTCAGGCYAGTCCCCCCTTACTCAACTTCAAGATGTTAGCTCTTTGCACTGTTATCTCTAACATTATTTCTATCATGATTCATGACTATTTCAATAGCTACACAGATGCATGTTATAGTTCCTCATCTTCTTCTCTTATGTGCTAGTCTTTCTCACTATATACATGTATGTCCTACCCTCCACAGGACAGACACCAGCAACTGCAACTCTTAATTGTTGTTGCACTCCACCTCCTATCTTTTGTATTCCTAGTACTCCAGGTCAGCAATCTTATGACTCCACTGGACCTTAAATCTCATAGGAATCTCAGTGTCCATCACTCCTTTCACATGTCACTTTCATGACCCTCTCCCACTCACCTTATAGCATTTATCTGACTAAATGTGGTTAAAACTATGTATTCCTTTCCTGTATTCATGCAGCTGAATGTGGTGGGATAAACCACTTATCTACAATGATTGACATCACTTAAGATTGATATCCACTAAGCTCATATGGGCTCTTAGTGCTTTCAGCAATCATGCTAGATTTCCCTACTCTATTTTTTCTCCTACTCTCCTTTCCTGTTGTAAGACAAATACATTTAGTTGTCATGTCTCCTTAGATGCCCCTTGGCTGTGACAATTTCTCAGACTTTCCTTGTTTTTGATGACTTTAGACAGTTTTGAAGAGTACTGATCAGGTGCTATATAATACTAATGAAATGTGTCTGACATTTTTTCATGGTTATATCAAAATATGGATTTTTGAGGAAAATCACAGAATTAACAGTGCCATTTTCTTTTCTTTTGCAGTACTAGGAACTGAACCCAGAGATGCAGAGTTAAGAGCCCCAGCCCTTTTTAAAAACTTAAAAATTGTGAGACAGGGTCTCACTAAAATTGCTGAGGCTGGCCTCCAACTTGCAACCCACCTGCCTCAGCCCCCCAGATAGCCAGGCCACCATGTCTGGCAACAGTTCCATTTTCTCTGCATCATATTTAAGGTACATACTATCAATATGAATTATTACTGTTGATGTTGACCTTATCACCTGGCCAAGGGCTTGTTAACTTTTTCCACTGTGAAGTTTCATTTCCCTTTCCATACTGTATTCTCTGGAAGTCACTAAGTGCAGTCCATACTTGAGTTATGCTCTACTTCCTGCAAAGCAGAGCATCCACATAAACTTTTAGGATTTGTCTGCAGGGATGATTGATCTGTCTCTTCTCCACATTTATTTATTCAATCATTTGTATCAGCATGGACTCACAGATGTTTATTTTAAATTTCAAGTTATAATTCTTTATTACTTTATTTTTCTGTTCAAATTCTCCAAGCTTTGGCTACTAGGAGCTCCTTCACTTGCTCCCTATGATACATTTCTCTCAATGTGCCCCCACCTCTTTCTTTGATAGTAGGGATTAAACTCAAATAATACTGCTATGAACACATTTGTGCAAGTTTTTGGTGGACATATGATTTTGTTACTTTTTTTTTTTTTTTTTTTTGGCAGTGCTGTGGATTGAACCCAGGCCTTGTGCATGCTTGGCACTCTAGCGTTGAGCTGTATGTTCTACTCCATGGATATATGCTTTTAATTCTCTTGGATATATACCTAGAGTGGAATTGCTGGGTCATATGGTAACTCAATATTAACTTCCTGAGGAACTGTCAAATTGTTTACAAAGCAGTATAACATTTTACATTGTCATCAGCAATATAAGAGGGTTCCAATCTTTTTTTTCATTTTTATTTTTTGTAGTACTAGGAATTGAAATCAGGAGTGTTCTACCTCAAAGGTGTATCCACAGCCTTTTTGATTTTATTTTGAGACGGGGTTTTGCTAAATTGCCCAGGCTGGCCTCAAAATAGAAATCCTCCTCCCTTAGCCTCCCAAGTCCCTGGGATTATAGACAGATGTGCACCACTGTGCCTGGCCAACAATTCCAATTTTTCCACATTCTCACCAGCACTGATTATTATCTGACATTAGGTAGAAAAAGGTATCCTCTGGTTTTAATTTATATTTAAATTATATTTCCTTAATTAAAATTTAATTAAAATTAAAATAATTTTAATTTATATTTCCTTAATTGGGCCACACATGGTAATTTAAAAGGAGAATATTTACTTATTCAAAGTCTACTCTCTTTGAAAATGGGCTTGAACACTGTCAGAGAGATTTCTCAGAGATGTGGTTCTATTTTCCGCTGTTCTGGACCTTGGTGTACAGAGGCTGAAGTTCAAAGCTGATAACTTGATTTCTATTCTATATCCAGAAATGTATAGGAAAAGTACTAACTAGGGTACTTCATATTCTTACTTATACCATACAGAAACCATACAGCTGACTAATAAATACCTCCAGTCTTAGCTAACATTTTCAGCTCTGTAACTCAGAAGCAGAATGACCTGTAGATACAAAGTAAGGGCAGAGATTAGGTTTTGTCAAGTTTCAATTCTAAATTCTTAACCAATGAACATCACAAGAAGTTTTAACTACACTTTAAGGAAAAGTATTTTCTCACACTAAAGCTAGTGTTAAACTGGTCTTACCCTCAAAGGATTTTCATTGAGGTATGGAGGCTCTCCTTCGACCATCTCAATAGCCATGATACCCAGTGACCATATGTCAACTTTGGGGCCATAAGCTTTCCGTGTAACCACTTCTGGTGCCATCCAATAAGGTGTTCCAACCATGGTACTGCGTTTACTCTGCTCAGGGGTGATCTGGGCACAAAAACCAAAGTCGGCTAAGAAACAAACAAAAAAACAACTAGAGTTAATAGCTTCTAGTGATGGTTTTATAAGAGTTCACTTCAGATGACACAATTACATTTAGACTGTTCATGCTTTTTTTTATCTTTGTTAAAAAAAGAATAATAAAGTAATCCAGAATGGGATTAAAATACATTGATGATGTTATATACTGCCACTTTTTGCTTTTTGTTCCTACAACAGAGTGTAAATTATTAGGATGGCTTTTATTCTTAATAATAAATTCTATCCTAAAAAATTTAATAAAACTTAAAAAGTCCAAAGGGGAAGAGGGAATCACCAAAGGTGGACACCAAATCTAAATGCAGGCAATCAGGCAAGGGTCAACACTACTTTAGAATAAAATAAAGAGAAGCTAGAATCACTAAGCATACAACTTAGCAGACAGCTTAGAATTGAGTGCAATTGTATTGACAAGATACTCACTAGCATTAATCTACTCCAACTATCTCTACTATAACCAAGGAACAGAAAACTTACTTTAGTACCTGATGTTAATTTTGTAGAAAGGTCAGGATGAGAATTTATAATCTTTTCTTCCCTTCTACTGTTAAAGCCATTCAACTACTTATGTAACTACTGGTATCAGGTATGTAAACTTTAGACTGTTTTGTATTTGGATAAGAATGTATAATAGCTATGAATTGCTTGGTTTGTTTTTACTTAACGAGAATATTTTGTTAATTGTTTCTGTAAGAAATCCTTCCATACTGGAATATTTATCTGCCTCATTTTAAAAACCATAATATATTACAGTATACAAAAATACCAAATTACCATTCACTTACTGTTTGACACTTAAGATAGTTTGTTTTTCTTTACAATGTTGCAGGGAATATCCTTTTATTAATTGTAATGCATATATTTAGTAATTCTATAGGAGTTAGATAAAATAATATTTATAATGAAAATGAGTGTTTATAAAAGCCAGGTACTGTTCCAAGTACCTTATAAAAATATCTAATTCTCATGATAAAGATTTTTTTTTTGTATTTGGTTCAGAGTAATTTACTTTTTTTTTGGACCAGGGCTTAACCACTGAGCCACATCCCTAGCCTTTTTAAAAATTTTATTTAGAGACAGGGTCTCCCTAAGTTAAGTTGTTAAGTTGCTGAGGCTGGCTTTGAACTTGCAATCCTCCTGCCTCAGTCTCCAGAGCCACTGGGATTACAAATGTAGGCTACTGCATCCAGCTTAAATAATTTATTTTTAAATTTATTTGTTTTCTTGTGGTGCCAGGGAATTAGTCACTGGGGAAATTAAACCCAGGGTTTTGTGCATACTAGGTAAGTGCTTTACCATGATCTATAATCCCAGACCCAGTTTTCTTTCTTTCTTCTTTTTTTTTTTTTGCATGTATGCAGTTTTGAACTCAGAGCTGGTTAACCACTGAGCCACATCCCAAGTGCTTCTTATTTTTTTATTTTCAGACAAGGTCTCACTAAGTTGCTTAGGGACTCGCTAACTTATTGAGTTGGCTGTGAACTTTCGATTCTCCTGCCTCAACCTCCCAAGCCAGTAGAATTACAGGCATGCACCACTGTGCACAGCCCCAGGTATGTTTACTATTAAAATTATTCACATTTACAAACAGGGGAACCAAGGCATATATATTTTTAGTTAATTTACCTAAGATCATTCAACTACCTAGTAAGAGTCACCACAAAACACTATCCAAAAAAGTCTAATTCCATTTTCATATGTCTCCACCAAAAATGTATGCGGTTATCTACTTCCAATTTGTCCACTAAGATAATTTAAAGATAGAATCTTATATTTTGATGACCTAATTGAATAACCTTTAGAGGACACAGTTTAATAGCTCTGCTTGATTTTTCCAGAGGGCATGGCAGGAATTCCAAGATACAGACACAGAGAAAAAAAGTTTAGGATGTTTTTCATGACTCTACTCTGTCTCATACAGAAGAAAATAGAAAAGTAGGATATTTTGTCATCTCTGAGGTTACACTCATATAGTTATATAGATTAGGCTATACTGTACAAAACTCAGAGAATGCTGAAGAGTACAATGAGAAAAAAAAGTCTAACAGATGGCAGAAACAAATGCAAACTGATCTCTAAGACAGCATCAACATAGGACAGGCTCAGGCACTCCTTTACATTTCTAACTTCCCAAAAAATCCTGAGATTGGTTCTATTATCTTCCTAGGTGAATAAATGAGAAAAGACACACAAAGAGATTAACTTGCCCAAAATTATTAAGCAATTAGTAGCCAATCTGCTATTTAAACTCAGTCCAGTTCATAGTTCGTAATCTTTACCATTAAATTCCCCCCATATATTAATTATTCAAAATATTAACAGAAGAGATTTGTTTTAATTAAAAAAGCATAAAAGTATATTAAAAATAATGAATGAATGTTTTTTCTTCATTTGTTACTCACTAAGTTTAACTGATCCTTCCATTCCCAAAAGCACATTGTCACTTTTGATGTCTCTGTGGATCACTTGATTGGCATGTAAAAACTCCAATGCCTGTAAACACTGAACAGAAGCAAACATATATCAATGAAATAGTCCTAAAAGGACTATCTTGCTAGTTCACATAGAGTAGTTATGTGTCTAGTATCTAGCTAAACACCCTGCAATACATTTACATTAACATTTATAAGGAAAAACATCCTCTCATATGCAAAGTTCTGAAAATAAAATACCTTAATTAGTAAGAAGATCCCTTCCCACATTCTGATCTCTAGATACCTAGAGACATTATTAAATGATGTCTTATTAAGTCCTTTTTTTCCCAATGATTCTTTTTTTTTTTTTTTTTTTAAGGAAAAGGCCTTTCTTTGTTGCCCAGGTTGGCCTCAAACATTCCTCCTGCTTCAGCTTCCTGAGCAGCTAATACTGCAGACATCTGCCATGTGCCCAGGTAGGTCATCCATCACTGATTTCTTCTTCTTTTTTTTTTTTTTGCAGTGCAGGAAATCAAACCTAGGGCATTGTGGATGCTACATATACAGTCTACTAATGAGCTACATCCCCAGTCTCTGACATGGATTTTTAAAACTTAGTCTTCAATGGTCTCTTTTATAATATGATGGATGAGTCCATATAACTTCTAGGCCTTTTCAAGTTTAAATCCCTAGTAGTACACAGTACTTGGTCAATAAACATCAGTTCTTTAGAAATTATTTCCAGAGTAGAGAATAAACTTGTGGTTATTTGCACTTGAAACCTGAGGTACTCAGAAGTCTAATCAATGCGAGTCACTAAGACAAGCAGGTAAGACTGAGGGTAGTATGGTTGCATTCAGGGGTTCATTAAGGTAATGTACTATGTCTTCATCATTTCTTCTATGGTGGATTTTATGTCATGCTATATCCACAGCCTGACACTAAGAATGAAGGAATATGGCTAGAGGTAGAGAGCTCAGTGGTAGAGCACTTGCCTAGCATGTCCGAGGCCCTAGGTTTGACCCCCAAAACTGAAATGAAATTAAACAAACACATAAACCAAAAACACTATTAAAAATAAATAATAAAACAAAGTTCTTGTGTCCATCTACAACTAATTTTTTTTTAATTAGGATAAATTCCTCCCTTCCTTAAACACAAGAATGAGATTTTAAATATTTCTTTGTCCCATAGTTTTTCGTTGTTGTTTTGTTTTGGGTTTTTTGGGTACTGATGATTGAACCCAGGGGTACTCAATCACTGAGTCACATCTCCAGCCCTTTTTTTTTAATTATTTTATTTAGAGACAGGGTCTTGCTGAGTTGCTAAGTGCCTCACTAAGTTGCTGAGGCTGGCTTTCAACTCGCAATCCTCCTGCCTCAGTCTCCTCAGCTACTGGGATTWCAGGCACATGCCACCATGCATGGCACCGCCATAGTTTTCTAATACAAACTGAGACAATAAATTATGTACTTGGGAAAAGTTAGGTGTATTTTTATTCTTATTCCCATCAGAGTAAAACAACAAATAAAGTCTGCACATTATTTGTAACTATTAAAAGTCTCATTCAAAATATTCTACTATTATACAAAGAAAAAAMAGATAATAATGGTCATGTTATTTTTACTAGGCATTTAATTGGATTCTGAAAAAGAATAAAACCACAGAAAAATATTCATACAAATAAGTAGAAATTAATTTGTCACATTTCAAAAACTTTGATACATAAAAGAACACCCAAGTGAATGCAGTTAGAACAACTCCTAAAATTATCAACTATGAAAAAAATTGTGAGAAACAAATTAAGTATAAATAAATTCTTATTAAATTTTTATTAGTTTTTAAGTGATACTCTGTTAAGGGATATAATAACTATGWTCAGAACTATGAAAGAGTTCTTATTTCCTTTAACCACTCAGGTGGGACACAACTCAGAATTAAATTTTCAAAGAATATTACCTTAATAATAATAATTCTCTATGTATTACACAAAGTTTATAATTCACTATGTATTACACAATAGTACCTCATAAACTTTTATAATTTTGTCATTTATGACAATGATCTCTGTGACATCAGGACAAAATACTATCAGTTTCAATGACAATGAAAACCATTAACCTAAGTCTTCTCTATTAAAAAAAAAAAAGCGACAGACAGATGAAACACTTGCTTTTGCTTAGACTTAGGCAATTTGGAAAATTCTACTAGCTTAAGTAAACAGTACATTTATAAATTCATTAATAAATATGAAGAAACAACCAATTTCTTCACCTTCAGTGAGCTCAATAAAGCTAGAAGCAGACTTAGTGATATTAAAGGTAATCACATTATCTTGTTTGGTCTGTGATAGTTCTAGTTCCCAATTTGGGGGGTGGGGAGCACAAGGAGGGATACCAGGGCACTTTACTACTTTACTTTAACCTAGAGGTACTTTACTACTAGGCTACAAACCTAGCCCTTTTTATTTTGAGACAGGGTCTCACTAAGTTGCTTAGAACTTGCTAAGTTGCTGAGCCTGACTCTGTACTTATGATCCTCCTGTCTCTGYYTCCTGAGTCACTGGGGGATTATAGGCATGCACCACCACACCTGACTGAGTGGCATATTTTTAATAGCACCTACCCTGTCTGGATGATAAACTATCGTGATGACTATAAAGAGATTTGAAGATGAACCTAGTTCTTCAAAGACCTTAACCAGGCATGTGTGTAACCCCAGCTACACCAGAAACGGAGGTAGAAGGACCACAAATCTGAGGCCASCCTAGGCAAGTTTTGAAACTGTCTCAATATAAAAAAATAAAAAGGGGATGTAGCTCAGTGATAAAGGGCCCCTGAGTTCAATCATCAGTATATCCCCAAAATTAAAAAGGGCCTACATTTCATTCCCAAGGTAACTTACACCTGAAGGGCTGAAACTCTCATTTGAGATGAAACAGTATGGGATAACTTGCAGAGAATGTGCACAATCAAAATTCCCTGTGCAGAAAAACTTTCCTTTAATTTATCTCTTGCTGACCACACATSACCCTTCTTTATCCCAAAGAAAGCAAACTCACCTCTCTGCACACAGCAGCAATCTGCGCCTCATCCATGCAGGTTTCTGTTACAACATCAGTAAGTGACCCACCAGCAAGGTACTCCATTACTACAAACAATTCATCTCCTACCAGGTAACTAAAAACAGAACACATAAAACATGTATTTTTATTTTTCTAAGCACATTACACTCTAGGTTCAAGATTTCAAGTGTTAATAAGCACCATAATAATAAAACTAAAGAGCTGATAGTTTGAGAGCTAAGAAGAAAACTGAAAAGTTACTATGTAACTATGACGACTTGAAATACTATTTTAAAAAGCAGAGAAATGTACCTGAAAAGTTTATTTTCACGAACACAGACCCCATAATTAAGGCTAAAGTCTCAAAATATATTATCATTTCTCCATCCTCAACAAATTTACATATGGAAGAAAATCACCTGTAATCTAATACGACACTAGTATGATATAAGTGAATCACTTTTTTAAAAATTGAATAATATACCTAATTTTCCATTCTGTTTTGTTTTTTTTTGTTTTTGTTTTTTTAACATCAATGTCTGGGGCTGGGGTTGTAGCTCAGTGGTTGAGCACTTGCCTTGCGTGCCTGAGGTACTGGGTTCGAGACTCAGCACCACATTAAAAAAAAAAAGTAAAACAAAGACATCATGTTCATCTACAACTAAAAAAATGTTTAAAAAAAACAACAATATCTGAATTACATGCACTTTTCATAAACATACAATTTGCCCACAAAGAACAGCATTTGAAACAAAAACTGATCTAAAAGTTTAAGAACTGTGTGCTAGTCACCTCTGTGGGTTAAGACATGAATCCCAGTTGACCTTTCCTTAATGTTTCAGCTTCTGATCATTTGCACGAATATACACACCATCAGCAAAGTCCTTCATTTACCTGCCTTCTCTMTCTTGCCAAGTTAATATCCTTGYAGCAAAAGGACCTTCTAACTTGTAATATGCTATTTTCACCTCTCCTCTTTCTCTCTTAAGTTTATTTCTCGGTACTGACACTTCAAAGTGGATAGCCTCCATCAAACCATGAGACTACAAATTTCCATATTTTTATCCCCATATTTAAAAGAACCTCAAACATATTTACCTGTCTAAGAAGTTAACTATATTGGGATTCTTTAATTCTTTCATCACCAAAATCTCATTAATGATCAGTTCCTTCTTTGGCTGTTTCTGTAAATTAATCTGTTTGATAGCAACCTATAAGGGAAATAGAATTGGGGGGAAAAAAAATCAATGGTTTCCCTAATTATCTTAGAAAATAACAAACACCAACCAGTTAATTATTTATAGTAACACACAATATTGCATAGTAAGATTTAACTGACAAACAAGTAGTATTTTCACTTGCACACTGCCTATGCACAGTGTTATACACTATATGGACCCTAAATATGTTCAGATTTATCCTGAAGTTGATTAACTAACTTAAGGTCAATACAGTGCCAGGAATTAACCCTCTTTTCACTCCAACCTGGGAAAATATTTTTTAAAAATATTTGCTTATTCATGACATAATTCCTTCTATGTTCCCCTTAATGTGAGAATGGCTATAAATGACATAGATTCATTCTTACAACATATCTAACTTAAAAAATATATTCCTACTGATTATGCTTAGCTTTATCTAGTATTTCTCCTACACAAAAAGCTAATATAACATCTAGAAGTATGAAAAAGTTGCTACCTCCTGTCCCAGAGCCACATCAGTAGCAGTAAAAACTGTACCAGAAGCCCTAAGGGAGAAAAGACACAATTAGAATTAAGGTTTCTGAATCACTGCCATTTATAATAATCCAAAGACTAAAATTTTTTACCCTTCTTACAATTGAAAAAGGATGAAAGAACACTTGATTCAACATCTTAAGAACCAAAAWAAATAAATAAATAAATAAAGGAAAAGAGGAGGCCATCTTTCTGGACAAAACTTTTACTTTGAAATATTTCAGGCCTACAAAAATATAGGGAAAAAAAGAAATAAAAAAAAAATAACAAATACTCATGAATACAATTCCCTGCTTAAGAAACAAAGAACTGCAAATAAACTTGAAAATTCTTAGTAAGCCTTTTCCTTCAGCATTCTCCCTCCACCCAATGGTAACCTGTCCTTTTTGTTTATCCTGTATTAGATGAGCATCATTTCCATGCATTTTTGTATACTATGAAGTTTCAGTTTATGTATTTCTCTGCAATTTGCTTTTTTAAAATTCATCTGGCTGGGTGTGGAGGCACACACCTGTAAAAGGGCTAGGGATGTAGCTCAGTAGTAAAGCGCCTCTGGGCTCAATCCCCAGAACCATAAATAAATGAATAAACAAATATATTCAACTGGATTTGTGATACCTATCCATATACATAGGTATTAGTCTTATTAATTACTAATTATTCAACATATAACATCTATATGTTCAAAATATTAAGGTGATTTTCAATTTTTTATTATTAAAATCAGTGCTGAATTGAATTTAGTTGTTAAAAATAAATTCAAAAGGAAGTTACCAAAAATTCTCATTCTAAATCCCACAAATTATTTCTAAATCCACAGAACATTTTGTAGAGATTAGTAATATTAAAAAATTCAAGATGTTGGGGCTGGGGATTGGCTCAAGCGGTAAAGCGCTTGCCCGGCATGCGCGGGCACTGGGTTCGATCCTCAGCATCACATAAAAATAAAAAAATAAAGATGTTGTRTCCACCGGGAAAAAAAAAATTCAAGATGTTCATTTGCTTTCAAGCAATACAGGAAAGAGCTTAATTAGTATAGTTTAAAAACAAATTACTAAACAAAATCTGATTGGCAGACTCAAAGATCAATACTCAATGATATGATTCAAAGACATTCATTCATTCATTTATTTATTTTTAATTTTACTTTTTAATTTTAGTACTGGGGATTRAACCCAGGGGTGCCTTACYACTGAGCTTACTCCCCAGTTCTTTTTATCTTAGGATCTAACTAAATTGCTGAAACTGGCTAAAAACTTGAAATCCTCCTAACTCAGCCTTCTGAGTTGCTGGGATTATAGGTGTGCACCACCATGCCCAGATAAATGTGTGGATTTTTGCTCTGCTTTGCTTTTGTTTTTGCATTGCCAGAAATCAAACCCAGGACCTCATGTATCCTAGACAAGCACTCTACATGGAACTACATACCCAACCCCAAATGAATGTTTTTATGGCCTATAATCCTGCAATAAAATTGTCTTTTAAATATGTTATGGGCAACTTTTCCATCTAATAATCCCTTACCATTTATGAGAAATAACATTTAATAAGAAACAATGATGTAAAGTCATTGCTGACATGTAGGGKTTTTTTTTTTAACAATTACATTATGTATTTACACAAATCCCCTAGGGTACCACTCATGGAATGCAGTGAACGCTCAATGTCAGGGGGAAAAGAGAGATCATGCTGAATACCCAGTAAATAGTGAATATTATGACAATACAATCATAAACACTTACCCCTGTCCAATTTTTTCATATCTTGTATATTTTTTCTTAGGATCACCTATGCTCACAATAGTTCCTATTTTAAACAAAAACAACATTGCAAGCTCAGTTGAACATTTTAAACACAAATTAATTTTGGTATAATTATTTCTTTTAATAAACTCTGATTTTAAAACACTGGTTTTCAAACACATCAAATTTCAACAATAATTTTTTTCAAACAAAACACTGAAGAAACTTAGTAAAAAAAAGCAAAAAGGTATCCGAAACAAGAAGACACATACTCTCCACTAGGTTAGGACTCCTAACTAATCACTTTCTCAAAAATCATGACACTCCAGAACAACCAATTGTTCTAGTCTGCCTGAGATTTAAGGGGATTCACAGGATGTACAGCTTTCCAAATGGCAATTTCAGCTGAGGCAAAAGAATCATAAACTCGAGATCAGTCTTGGAAACTCAGTGAGACCCTGTCTCAAAACAAAAAATAAAAAGGTTGGGATGTAGCTCAGTGGTAAAGCAYCGCTGGGTTCAACCCCCAGGACCAAAAACAAACAAAAACTTAGTAATTCCTGGAAAATTGGTCACTCTACTTTTCTACCACACTGCATATATTACACACAGTGATAAGTTATGAAACTACTTACTATCAGTAATAATAAATGAATGATATCCAAATGAAATAACCCTAAATGGCTTTTCTGACTATTTCAGTATATCTTCTTTTAATATATTTAGGAAATCACCTACTACTAATATGAACTAATTATGTATGTATTTTAGGAATGTTCAAAGTCATAATTAAGAAAAGATCAAAACTTAAATTCTATGACCAGTAAGTCAAAACATAAGAAAATCACATTAGGTCACCCCATTTGGAGTAGG